AGTGCAAGACAACTATAGATAGGACTCCAAATAACCGATGCGTATTCTAGTTTTGAACGAACAAGAGAGTTAAAGATAGTTTTCCAGTATAGGGATCCTTAAACTCCTTCGCTTGCCTTCGCGGAAAAGCTAGGTTCTTGTATGCCTTCGGAAGAATACAATACATGTGATTAACAAAGGTGATTGCAGAGTCAAAAATGACACCAATATCAACATAATTATTAACAGAATCGAGTTTTTTATTCTAAATATGATAATTGGTTGGAAAAATGTTAGACGTTTTAGCGAGGGTCATATGGAAGCATTTTTTATATTGAGGGATAACAAATTTGTTTGGTACCATACTTCGAGATTAAACAAATCTTCTAAAAGTAACCGCCAATCAGTGACACAATTGATTTAACGAAACGGTTTCAGATCATCGGAATACAGCAAGTAATCAGACTTATTAAAACAGGAACCGATATCATCCATAATAAAGACTGACAACAGCGGTCCAAGGACACTGCCTCAAATAGCCAGCGCTTCGAGTGAGTAATTGTTCGTGGACGAAAGAACGGCAGAATTAATTTTCATGAAATATAATATGAACATATCGATGGCTGAGTGGAAGATCGACTTATCTCGGTAGCCAGTTCGAAAACGCTCTATCTCAAAAAACTTTTCAAGANGACAAGAGAGTTAAAGATAGTTTTCCAGTATAGGGATCCTTAAACTCCTTCTCTTGCCTTCGCGGAAAAGCTAGGTTCTTGTATGCCTTCGGAAGAATATAATACATGTGATTAACAAAGGTGATTGCAGAGTCAAAAATGACAGCAAGATCAACACAATCATTAACAGAATCGAGTTGTTTATTCTAAATATGATAGTTTGTTGGAAAAATGTTAGACGTTTTAGCGAGAGTCATATGGAAGCATTTTTTATATTGAGGGATAACAAATTTGTTTGGTACCATACTTCGAAATTAAACAAATCTTCTAAAAGTAACCGCCAATCAGTGACACAATTGATTTAACGAAACGGTTTCAGATCATCGGAATGCAGCAAGTAATCGGAATTATTGAAACAGGACCCGATATCATTCATAATAAAGACGAACAACAGCGGTCCAAGGACACTGCCTTGGGCACCCCCAAAGTAGCGGCAAACAGGATCCTACTTGAAATATATGACTTTAACCAATTTAAGAAGACTGAATGAAAACCAGTGTTTCTTAACTTCAGAAGCAAAATTGAATGTGATACCTTTCGATGAAGACCTTCTCAATTTAAGTAAACTAAACTAAAATACGACAAACTGACAGATCTGGCTCGCAAATATTCGAGCTCCCCAATAGCCACCGCTTCGAGTGAGTAATTGTTCGTGGACGAAAGAACGGCAGAATTAATTTTCATGAAATATAATATGAACATACAGTGCCGGACAAAAGTATTGGCACAGAGAATTTTTCGCAATATCTGAAAAGTTTTTTATTCNCTTTTAACTTTGGCAATTGGATTACAACACTGTATAAGTAAAATACTGACTAAATTTTCTAGTAATTTTTTATATTCCAATTGTATCTTAAGTATACAATTTGTAAGTAATAAAAACGATAACTTCAGTTGATTACAGAATTTTAAATGTGAAATATATGACATTCGTAACATCCCTGTTTGGCAGCTAATAATTCGAGATTTGACTATGTAAACGGGGTGATTAATAAACGAGCTTTGATTGAGATTCTTTTTACATATATGTATGTAAACGTACATAAACTTTTTCTAACCTATCTTTAACCCTTTCGATCCGAAAAGCAACAAGCAGCGAAATCTAGGTTTTAGTTATTTTTTTTTTAAATTTGGGATATATAATACACACATAAAAATTATTAAAGGATCGCCCCCTCCTTATAGGGGGCCTAAGGAGGGGTAGGACATACGTGTCCCATTCGCAATTTTGGACGTCTGGAAAATCATTGCCAGAACATCACACACCATTAGCTGGGCTAATATTTCTTCTCGTTTCAGATNCTTTTAGTTTTGGCAATTGGATTACAACACTGTATAAGTAAAATACTGACTAAATTTTCTAGTAATTTTTTATATTCCGATTGTATCTTAAGTATACAATTTGTAAGGAATAAAAACGATAACTTCAGTTGATTACAGAATTTTAAATGTGAAATATATGACATTCGTAACATCCCTGTTTGGCAGCTAATAATTCGAGATTTGACTATGTAAACGGGGTGATTAATAAACGAGCTTTGATTGAGATTCTTTTTACATATATGTATGTAAACGTACATAAACTTTTTCTAACCTATCTTTAACCCTTTCGATCCGAAAAGCAACAAGCAGCGAAATCTAGGTTTTAGTTATTTTTTTTTTAAATTTGGGATATATAATACACACATAAAAATTATTAAAGGATCGCCCCCTCCTTATAGGGGGCCTAAGGAGGGGTAGGACATACGTGTCCCATTCGCAATTTTGGACGTCTGGAAAATCATTGCCAGAACATCACACACCATTAGCTGGGCTAATATTTCTTCTCGTTTCAGATTCTTCGACATACATATGTATTTTAATTTTAATTTTTATTTTTATTATCTTATTATTATCTATTATTGTTTTTATTAACTTTGTGTAAATGCCAAAGAAAACGAGAAAATGTTCACAAAAACTAAGCGGGGCATATGCATCCCCACATCATGCAAAAAAAAAAAAATACTATCGAAACACATACATATGCCCCATAGAAAAGTAGTGTCATTTTCAGAAGAGAATTCTCTTGGCTTGAGTGTGAGCTTTCTGCACAAAAACCATTTCGAACCATTATCAAAACGTCGAAATACCATAGCTTTGATGTTTTTTCTCATTTATAAGTAAATAAGGAAAACATGAAATGGGTGATATTTAACCCAACTCCAATACGTAGATTCTATTTTAGTTATGAGCAAACTTCTGCCGGGACGTATGTGTCCCGTTCGGATGGAAAGGGTTAAAGCCTATTAAATTTCATTTTCTNTGTACATAAACTTTTTCTAACCTGTCTTTAACCCTTTCGATCCGAAAAGCAACAAGCAGCGAAATCTAGGTTTTAGTTATTTTTTTAAATTTGGGATATATAATACCAATATAAAAATTATTAAAGGATCGCCCCCTCCTTATAGGGGGCCTAAGGAGGGGTAGGACATACGTGTCCCATTCGCAATTTTGGACGTCTGGAAAATCATTGCCAGAACATCACACACCATTAGCTGGNCGTACATAAACTTTTTCTAACCTATCTTTAACCCTTTCGATCCGAAAAGCAACAAGCAGCGAAATCTAGGTTTTAGTTATTTTTTTTTTAAATTTGGGATATATAATACACACATAAAAATTATTAAAGGATCGCCCCCTCCTTATAGGGGGCCTAAGGAGGGGTAGGACATACGTGTCCCATTCGCAATTTTGGACGTCTGGAAAATCATTGCCAGAACATCACACACCATTAGCTGGGCTAATATTTCTTCTCGTTTCAGATTCTTCGACATACATATGCATTTTAATTTTTATTTTATTTTTATTATCTTATTATTATCTATTATTGTTTTTATTAACTTTGTGTAAATGCCAAAGAAAACGAGAAAAAGTTCACAAAAACTAAGCGGGGCATATGCATCCCCACATCATGCAAAAAAAAAAAAATACTATCGAAACACATACATATGCCCCATAGAAAAGTAGTGTCATTTTCAGAAGAGAATTCTCTTGGCTTGAGTGTGAGCTTTCTGCACAAAAACCATTTCGAACCATTATCAAAACGTCGAAATACCATAGCTTTGATGTTTTTTCTCATTTATAAGTAAATAAGGAAAACATGAAATGGGTGATATTTAACCCAACTCCAATACGTAGATTCTATTTTAGTTATGAGCAAACTTCTGCCGGGACGTATGTGTCCCGTTCGGATGGAAAGGGTTAAAGCCTATTAAATTTCATTTTCTGTGTTCATCTGGTCACACTGGGTGTTAGTATGGGGGTGTGAGTGTTTTTGTGTGTGTGTGTGTGTGTGCACATACACACACCCACACACACACTTTTCAAGTTTTCCAATTGTATTTGTGCCTTTTGCCGCTCAGACTCGCTGGCTGGCTGGGTGCAACCTCTTGCCACTGGTGGTGGTGCTGCTAATACTTCTACCGCTGCTGCTACTGCTGTGCTGCTGCTGCTGCTGCTGCTCACCGCCACCTTCGTTTGATCGACGCTTCTTGACTGTTTCACCGCTGCTTGGCAGCTAGCTTNCATTTTAATTTTTATTTTATTTTTATTATCTTATTATTATCTATTATTGTTTTTATTAACTTTGTGTAAATGCCAAAGAAAACGAGAAAAAGTTCACAAACACTAAGCGGGGCATATTCATCCCCACATCATGCCGAAAAAAAAAAATATTATCGAAACACATACATATGCCCCATAGAAAAGTAGTGTCATTTTCAGAAGAGAATTCTCTTGGCTTGAGTGTGAGCTTTCTGCACAAAAACCATTTCGAACCATTATCAAAACGTCGAAATACCATAGCTTTGATGTTTTTTCTCATTTATAAGTAAATAAGGAAAACATGAAATGGGTGATATTTAACCCAACTCCAATACGTAGATTCTATTTTAGTTATGAGCAAACTTCTGCCGGGACGTATGTGTCCCGTTCGGATGGAAAGGGTTAAAGCCTATTAAATTTCATTTTCTGTGTTCATCTGGTCACACTGGGTGTTAGTATGGGGGTGTGAGTGTTTTTGTGTGTGTGTGTGTGCACATACACACACACACACACACACTTTTCAAATTTTCCAATTGTGTTTGTGCCTTTTGCCGCTCAGACTCGCTGGCTGGCTGGGTGCAACCTCTTGCCACTGGTGGTGGTGCTGCTAATACTTCTACCGCTGCTGCTACTGCTGTGCTGCTGCTGCTGCTGCTGCTCACCGCCACCTTCGTTTGATCGACGCTTCTTGACTGTTTCACCGCTGCTTGGCAGCTAGCTTGCTTGGTAGCGGTTTGGTGGCGGCAGTCACTTAAAATACAATGTCTGACGTCGCATTTGCTTTAGTCCTTAAATAAGAAGCAACAAGTTAACATCAGCTCCAATTCATTTGACTTGCGAGAGATACAAACTACAATACAGCAACAAGTTTCTTGTTTCTTGTTTCTTAGATAACCAAACGCAGTTAAAAAGTATTGAAAAAATAAATAAATTAAATAAAGACAAAGCAAAGCAAAACGAAAAGTGTCGGTGTGCAATACAGGAAAGAAAAATAAATAAATCAATGAATGAATGAATGCATGGAAAAAAAGAAATAAGTAAATAAATGAAAGATGTAAGCAAGAGCAACAAAAAAAAACAAACAAAAAATATTGCAAGCGATCGCAATTTTACGACGTAACAAAAATTTTTTATTTTGGACAGCAGAAATTTAACAAAAAAAAAACTAATATTAACAATCCAAAATTTATTGAAAAAAGTATGAAAAATATTTTTTGTAATTCAGCTTTTTACAGAGATTTGTGCGCGTTTAAGCGGCAAAACAAGTCTGAAAATTTATTTTTGTTTTTGGCTCTAAAAACATTTTTTAACGAGCAACGATCGTCGATCTGCCTGTGCAACGTTGGCACATGTTACGGCGACGGCGTTTTGCGATTTTGAGGTGGCCAAAAGCGGGAAGGCATTTAACCAGATAATATAGCAGCTACAAATCTGGCAAAATTACAGAAAAGAACGCAAAAAAAATTTAAAAAGTGTTTGTGCACTACATATGTATGTACATAGATTTCTATCGAAAAAATAATACTAAAATTTCAGAACAAACGCCATTAACTACTAAAACTAAAAAAACAAGTTTTCGAAAAAATATGTATGAAGGTTGAGCTTTTGAAATTTGTATGATGTGTAAATGTGTGTGTGTGCGGGCGCGCGCTTATCTGCACAAAAGAAGTTAAAAAGTGTAAAAAAATAAATAAAAAAATAAAATAACTAAAAGTGGTCAAGAATATGTTTGTAATGTAAAGTAAAATATTATTTAGCCTTAAGGATTTATTAAAATTAAAAACAAATTTTAATTTAAAAAAAAAGTTCTCTGAAAAATTGCAAGCGCCAGCTTGTAANATTAAAAAGTGTTTGTGCACTACATATGTATGTACATAGATTTCTATCGAAAAAATAATACTAAAATTTCAGACCAAACGCCATTAACTACTAAAACTAAAAAAACAAGTTTTCGAAAAAATATGTATGAAGGTTGAGCTTTTGAAATTTGTATGATGTGTAAATGTGTGTGTGTGCGGGCGCGCGCTTATCTGCACAAAAGAAGTTAAAAAGTGTAAAAAAATAAATAAAAAAATAAAATAACTAAAAGTGGTCAAGAATATGTTTGTAATGTAAAGTAAAATATTATTTAGCCTTAAGGATTTATTAAAATTAAAAACAAATTTNGTGTAAAAAAATAAAATAACTAAAAGTGGTCAAGAATATTTTTGTAATGTAAAGCAAAATATTATTTAGCCTTAAGAATTTATTAAAATTAAAAACAACAAAATTTAATTTAAAAAAAAAGTTCTCTGAAAAATTGCAAGCGCCAGCTTGTAACCAATCTTTTGAGCAATGCAACTGTTGCAGATGTGTCTATCTTACTATTTCCGCTGTCAACGAATCGCTATCATCGCCAACAGCACCTCCATCATCCAAATCCGACAGTACTACCTACGTATGTAGATAGATACTTGTCAACGGAGGCAGCTATTTTTCCGCCAAAGGTATAAATTTCAAGTGTTAATTACGCACGTGCAACACACAACAACTTGTATCGCTGTCAGCCAGCCAGCCAGCGGACAAGCGACCAACTGAATGCTGCCGCTGCGGTTGTCTTATTTTGTTTTTGGTTGTTGTTCCTTTTGTTGTCTTATTCTTTGACAAAAACCAGACGGCTGCGAAAACAACATACGGCAANTTTAAAAAGTGTTTGTGCACTACATATGTATGTACATAGATTTCTATCGAAAAAATAATACTAAAATTTCAGAACAAACGCCATTAACTACTAAAACTAAAAAAACAAGTTTTCGAAAAAATATGTATGAAGGTTGAGCTTTTGAAATTTGTATGATGTGTAAATGTGTGTGTGTGCGGGCGCGCGCTTATCTGCACAAAAGAAGTTAAAAAGTGTAAAAAAATAAATAAAAAAATAAAATAACTAAAAGTGGTCAAGAATATGTTTGTAATGTAAAGTAAAATATTATTTAGCCTTAAGGATTTATTAAAATTAAAAACAAATTTTAATTTAAAAAAAAAGTTCTCTGAAAAATTGCAAGCGCCAGCTTGTAACCAATCTTTTGAGCAATGCAACTGTTGCAGATGTGTCTATCTTACTATTTCCGCTGTCAACGAATCGCTATCATCGCCAACAGCACCTCCATCATCCAAATCCGACAGTACTACCTACGTAGATAGATACTTGTCAACGGAGGCAGCTATTTTTCCGCCAAAGGTATAAATTTCAAGTGTTAATTACGCACGTGCAACACACAACAACTTGTATCGCTGTCAGCCAGCCAGCCAGCGGACAAGCGACCAACTGAATGCTGCCGCTGCGGTTGTCTTATTTTGTTTTTGGTTGTTGTTCCTTTTGTTGTCTTATTCTTTGACAAAAACCAGACGGCTGCGAAAACAACATACGGCAAGCCTCATAAAGAAATGTATTTTATTTTATTAAAAATATTTTCATTTTCATTGCAATTAGGCGAGTTTGTGCAGGCAAACACAAACGGCACAGTTGGTTGAGAATACTCGTACAGATATACATATATACATATGTATGTATGTACATTCAAAAAAAAAGTTGTATGAATACAATACATAAATATTACAAAGTAAAAAAAAAAATGTGTGAGANCATACAAAAAAAAAGTTGTATGAATACAATACATAAATATTACAAAGTAAAAAAAAAATGTGTGAGAAATTATTATTTTCGAATCAGCATCTGTTCAAACTGAGTATGCAATGGAAAAATACCTAAACTGGCAATGACTGTCCAATTTTTAAAGCTTACGCTTTTGGCTTGAAATCTTGCCATCTCGGTTGTTGTTTGCCGTGTTGGAATGAGCTGCTACATTTCAATCGTTTTTCCATAAATTTTTTAAATAAAATCGAAATGTCTTACTTGAGCTTTACTCAGCTTAAGACTAATTTTTTTCTGCAACAAGCGGGCTTACAGATTTAGCTTCAGTTTTAAGCCTTGAAGTAGTCCAGAAAATGTGTATGTAGGTGGACGACCTACAATTTTACGTCGCCTCCGAACGGCAGATGGGTTTATACAGCTGTTAGAAAAGACTGTGATTATAATTCTTAGATGTTGTTCCGACTAGAGCACGCAACTGAGTCCTACCGAGCGCTAGGTCGGATCTCTCGACACGTACACTTTACCGTAAAATTGTTTTGCCTTGGGTTACGATGGTTGAGCTCGGTACACTGTGATGCCACTTCCGAAAGCTCTTGTTCCTTTAACAGATTTTCCCGTGTGATAGAACCACCGTGTTGCCTTACCGTAGCGTTGAAGGTCGCAAGATGTCCACAGAGTTGAGATCACCTAAACAATGAAACAGATAGCTATTTCCTCCTCCTGGGAGGTATTCCATTCGCTTACCATAAGCTGCTTTTTAGCAGTGTCCTGTAATGATACCGACCATTGCGTTCATACGGATTACGGACGCCTGCATCATGCGCAGAGTTATCTGAGCGTAGTCGCTTCTGTCTGAGAGGCTGATGCAAAACCTGTGTGCTGGTGTAATCGAGCTTATGTTGGGGGGCCTGGAATGGTGGTGGTGGGAAAGTTCGGTAGGAAAAAGATTTAGTATAGTTTCTTGGTCCTTACTGCAGGAGAGGGCAAGGCTACTATGATTAACATTGCCACAGGCCTTTGTATGAATTTACCTTCTTAAAATCAAATATTTAAGTCACCAGGGAAGAAATATGTAGACTTTTTCAAAAGTATCTATGCATTTATTTAATCGAACGACTCAAAAGATATAAAAAAATTATTGCCGCCCAAACAAAATCTACCATAATTTAAATTTAGTAACTTTTAGCTTAAATTTACTTATTGAACTTACTTTCCCGGCCGGAAGTGTGATTAAAATCACGGCTAGAGCTGGAACATGCACTAGACAGTTAGCGCTTGATATGTCCGGCTACCATAGAGGTAACAGAAGCCGCTCCTGTTCATTAAACCTAGCCTAAATTTTCGGCGTAATATTTTAGGTCGCTCCCCTTTGTGTGAGAAGCTCGACCGAACACTAAAACATGTGTAAGCGCCAATCTATTAAGTATTATTATCCGAATTGTGCTTAGTACAGGTAAAATGATTTGAAGAAAAATAAACATTTTACAAAATAAACAACTGGTTTTCTATAGCAAACTATTTGTAACCGACTTCAAAAAAAGGAAGAGGTTGTCAATTCGTCGGAATATTTTTTATGGATGTTACCGCATAACTTTGGACCACGTTAACCTATAATTCTTTTTTTTTAAGGAAATATGGTGCCTCAGAGCTGGTCCCATTCCAATTTGGTTTAGATCCAATCATTGGATCATGAAGAAATTATCGGTACTATTAAATTTTTATGAGAATTGAAGTCGATTTTGTTTTTGGCTTAAAAATTACTTGTTATATAGTTTACCGTTTAAGTTAATTTTCATCCTGCGCTGGGACGTAAAATGGAAGCATGTAAGCTATTGAATGCTAAAAATGTTCGCAAATAACAGCAAATTCAAAGATACGAACGGGTATATATAGATTCAGCGACCCATGAATAGGTACTTTTAATGCGTTTTCCGACACAGTTTTTTTTTTTAGCGAAACAGATCAGTTACGATCAGTCTGATGCATACAGATTATTGCGCTGTGGATCAGGGCTGGGAACATTTTTGGCACAAAGCAGTCAAAGAGCCAGCGAGTGAAAGTGACCCTTCATCTGGTTCTTAATGGTAAATAAAGGTCATATTTTAACTTTTTTCTTTGATTAAAAAAAGTAAGATTAAAAAAAATAAAAGTAAAATTTTGTGTTATTTTTTACCAAAAAAATAACAGTAAATTTTGAACAGTTTTTTTTTGCCGAAAAAATTAAAGTAAAATTTTAACTTTTATTTTTAAATGAAAAAATTAACGGTTAATTGCTTTCTTTTTTAAAAAGGGCAAACAAATTTACATCGTATATACAAATGTTAAAAATAGAAATTCCTTCCCACTGACTATTTGAAATAAAATTTTGAAAATAAACTACTATTTTCGATCCCTGGATTTAACTGC